TCAATAAATGCACAAACAAAATTGTTGCTAGCACGTTAACACCCAAATAATTACAGTTCGGTGTAGCCTAAACAAAAGGACTGCTGCTGCTATGTCTTTTGTTGAACCAATTATCTTTTTTGTGGTTTTTTATCTCTGATATAACCTGTCTCTTTTTGTTTATTGTTAAGCAGCGAGATAACAACATGCATGGTTTCAATTCACACTTTATTTGAGCGTTTCTCAAGAAAACCCAAAGTGTGAATCACAAGGGCGCAGTGTGTGTTGTGGTCTCAGACAGTGGCGGCGCCAGAGTATTTTTGTTGAGTAATCTATGGTAGGGCTAACCCATACAGTGGTGGGGCTCAAGTCAGTATTTGTAATGTAATTACATACACGCTATATCGCACCTCTTGACAGTGAAACGCACGCGTGAGGCTTTTATTAGCTTTTATTAGTCTCCTTTTATCAGCTAAATTACATCGAGAGCAACAGGTGTGAGTTAAACAATACAATAGCCTATTCTGCTCATTCCACGTTGTTACAGCATGCTACGCAGCGGCAGAAACAAGAAAAGTTGGCATATAGAATTGACAAGGAGAGAGAGAGGGAGAGTGAGGGAGAGAGACAGAGACACATGTAAACAGAGAGAGACAGACACAGCACACAACAGGTAGCCTGTATCTCTATTGTCATACAAAACCCTTTTTCAAATGACCCATTATTACAAAATATATTCAAAACTCACTATTCACTCTTCAGGTGGGTCGTGTGACTCTGGCACCTGTTCGACTTGTACCTCAATGCGAGGGCGTTTAAGAACAAATCTATCCATCCGAAATATACAATTAATCCTAGAAGTTCTGCTGTCTGCAATTTACTCGGCGCGAGTTTGGGGGACTTTCACTGTGAACGTGACGTATAGTAATGCATGACGCAGCAGACTCAACGTTTCGTTGCTCTGATTGGCTGTAGGTCTATTCAAATTGCATTCGGAGGCATTTTGATCTGACCGCGGCCGCGCTGATATTATAACGCGAGAGAATGTCCACACTTTTAGTGTATAAAACTCCCCCACTACTTAGACTATTCCTTGCACCCCTCTAGCATAAGCCCGAATGGTCTCAACCATATTGTGTCAGTAACGTGCACTTGTTGTTACAGCTAGAGATGTCCCGATCCCGATCCTCGGATCGGATCGGCCCCCGATACTGGGTTTTAAGGTGGATCGGGATCGGCAGATCCAATTAAATGTCATGGCCGATCCATAGTTAATATTTCCCATGATTCCGTTGTTACATTGTTTGTCGTTGTTGTTCTATTGCATCAGCCGCCATTATCGAGTTGGAAAAGTGGAACGGACACATATCGTTAGCTAGTTAAAATGTCTGCAGTTTGGCATCATTTTAAAAATAACTACAAGTGAGTCGCCGACTGCGACATGCAAAGTCTGTGGTGTGGAAGTCTCACGAGGTGGTGCTAACAGGGTCTCCTACAACACCACAAACCTAATAAAACATCTTAAAAAGCACCACCCCGACGAACACGCCGCCTACTGTAAAGCGACAGCGTCTGCGACTGATGGACTCCATCAACAAACACTGCGGGACAGCTTGAAACGAAAGGCTTTACTTCCTCGAGACTCCGAGAGATTTCGCAAGATTACTGAGTTGATTGTGGAGTGCATAACAGGGGACGACCAGCCAATTTCACTTGTGGAAAACTCAGGTTTTTGTCGTCTAATGAATTATTTGGGTGCCTGTCTATTTCTTAATGTATACGAAATTAAATGCTGTTTGCCAACACAAAAAGTGATATCGGATCGGAACCTATATGAAAATATCGGAATCGGATCGGAAGCTAAAAAATGAGATTGGGACATCCCTCAGTTTGTGTGTTGTGGACACGACCGGTAGATTTTCGCAATCCGTGTTCTCAACATGCTTACTTACTTTAACATAATTTGTCATGGTCGGGCTAAGGTAGGGCTAAGCAATTTCCTGGTATGGCTGTAGCCTACCCCAGCCATACCCTGGCGCCGCCACTGGTCTCAGGGTAGGAAGCAGGACCTCGTTTTGCGGGGGCCTTTTTTCTCATTTCCGTCAACATCTTGTCGAGTTTCTGGTTCATGATGTTTCTTTCTGTCCACTGGACTGCAGACGAGCCACAGACACGCATGTTACGAGCAAAGACAAATATATTCTTCAGAACAAACATACACAACCAATTAAAGATAAAGAAAGAAAGGGAAGAGGAAAGAGGCTACTACCCAGGTCGTCGGTTTTGTGGCCGTAGCCTACCAGAGATGAGGGTCCGTAGGCCGAGCTGTCGGAGGGGAGCTAATGTAAGAGTGCTTTGAGAGGGATTTCCATGTTAAATTAGCACCTGAATTAGAGAGTTCCGTGTTTTAAATTGTGAAGAAAAGGTGTGAACAATGAAATAGAATGACCTTAGAACTAACAGCCATGCAGGTGTATCTGTGATTCTGCTCTGTTTTAAAGGTTGCAAATCAAAGTATGTTGACATTGAAGGTTCTGATGATAGTGTTTGTACTAATCTCAAATGGTGAAATATGTGATTGCTGAAGTTATTTAAAAGGCACAAAACTAAAACAGCAAAAGGATATACTAAAAGAAAAAGAGGCATAAAATAATTGTAAAAAATCGAACCAAGAAAAACTGATCAATTAATTGAAATAAGTAAAAAAAGGTTATGGAAAACACTGGTTTAAGTATCAGATTTCTAAAATCTATGGATATTCAGTATATTGTCATAGATTTTAAGAAGGGGCGTATTATATTCCAGTAAAGTTTTACCAAGAACAATTTTGAGACATAACTCTTGGAACACGAAGCCAGAAAGATTGGTAATTATTATTGGTAAAAGTCTGTTTTTTGTGCCTTTGTAACACAATCACATACTGCACAGCCTAAAGGCTCACTAAAGTGAGTGAGAGTAAGTAAACATGTCATACAGTTTATATGGCATCATTCACGGCTGAATAATCCAGTTTAATAACAAAGATTGTGCTATTTTCTGTAAAATGTCCTGATATAGCCTTACAAATTATTGACAGCAGTTTTGAATAACAGACATATTGTGCTCCCACCCTCACCAATCGTTTTTTGTATATTGAAGGAGGCTTTTTATAGGATTAAAACATACTACGAAAGACTGTCAGGGATTTACACACCTGGGAATATGTTTGTGCGAAGACAGTGGCTCAAACTGCACGAAATAACTGATCCAGGATCAGCGTAGTGAGGCAGCGACAGGGACAGCACCTGAGGGCTTTCTGCCACCCCCCCCCCTAAAACACAGCATGTTCAGAGGAAATCATAACTCACAACAACACACACAGAAGCACAAAAACCCCCAATGAAAGACAAAAAAACACTATGTTCTCACCTGTGTCTCTGCTGGTTTTGCGTCTTTTTGGACATTTGAGGTCACGCTGAGACGATAAACCGCACGGGAGACGAGGCAAAAACAAAAGGTGTTACATTTCTTAAGAATGTCATGCAAGACACCTGAGAACATTACATCAGGTTTTACCTCTGGACAAGACTACAAATACTAATAGAAAAAAACTGACATTTAAAAACATTTATTTTTGCAAAAAGCTATTTGCTATTCACCTGTTGCTTTGATAACAATTAGTAGAAATCAAGGAAACATTTTGGAAAATAATGTTTCTAAAGCAATGCAGGCTTAAATAAAGAAATATCTTTATTTGGTGAAAGTCTCTTTTTCAACAGACTTTCACCAAATAAAAAAGGCCCTTTTATAAAGCCTATAGGATTTGCAAACACATTGTTCATTAGAGATATTTCAGGGTAGGCTATATGCAGGAATCCTGAAGTCAAATTTAATACCTTTTGAGACCTTTTTTAAGACCCTTTCCATACATTTTATGACCTCATCGCCACTTGGAGTTTTAACCGGTTACCTTGGCGACACACTTTACCTCACATTGACTATATACAGTATTGATTTTCTTTCGTATCTTCCAACCATTTGGACGCAGACTTGCATTTCCCCATAACGATGTTGTTTAGCAACCGGCGTAAACGGACCTTGGCGCGCTATCAAGCAGTGATCGCGCGATGTCCTGTTCAGATGACATCAAACCCAACGGGATGCCATCAATAAACTACACAGAATCACACTACACACCTACGCAATGATTACATTCAGGCACACTGTAGAATACAACCTCTTTGGACAATTTATATACTTATTGAAAACAAGCTACAAAATGTAATACCTTGGAAAATGCCGTTTAATACTTTTTAATAGCCTTAATTATTAATTAAGGATAATTCATTTATCAACTTGTAATACTTTAAGACCCCGCGGACACCCTGTATTTGAAGTGCATGCTAATATTTTAAAGGGGCCCCATCTACTTATTTTCTGGTTCATTTGTGTGCGTCTACTGCAGTGTTTCTCAAAGTGGGGGGGGTAGAGACCAGGAGATAAAGTGAATATGAAGAGAAACAAATAATGATTGATTCGAAAATAATATGATACAGTACAGTACAAGTACGTCTGGGTCTCTGTATTTCATTCAAGCTCGGCTCTGTGTGTGTGTGTGGAACGAGCCATTTTGTGTGCGAGCGAGAGAGAGCGCACCGGTACCGGAGATCGTTGTTGTTAGCTTCTGGTGCTAGCGAGCTACGCTAACAGATATAAGGAGCTTTTTCAACAAGGTGGAGGAGAGTCCTCTCCTGTCAGAATGAGAGGCTCAGTGAAGCATTGTTTTATTATCACTGTTTTATTTTATTTTTTTAAATAAATGCTCTCGTACATATTGATGTATTTTAATAAATGTTAACTTGGCCCATTACGTGACTATTTGTGTTGGGGGGGGCCCGACTTTTTTTTTTCTCCAAAGGGGGGGCCTGACAGAAAAAGTTTGAGAACCACTGCTCTACTGTGACATGTTACTGTGTAATTCAAACAAAGCAGTTAACCATAACACTGGAGGTGTGTTGAGAAGAAATAAAAAAACACAATTATTTCTTTTATTCAACTTTATTTCACAATTGTATGCCATTTATTGTGTTCTTTGTCATAATACCACACACAAATGTCAACTGGCTAAAACAATATAAAACATAACTTCCACAATTTTTTTCAGTATTTATATTATATACATGCACTCATATATTTAGAGGCAAAACAATTCTCAGGCTTTTTCGCTTACTCTCTCAAGTGCACTTTCACTTCCTGTCGTCCTTTGCTGGTTGAGAGGCCATTCCAATGAGGATCCTTCAGCTTCTGACGCCTGATCCACTCATTTATACAGGGTTGTAGTTGATTTTGTGGGAGAACATAACCAAAAGTGACGCTTTTTGTAACTGATGGAGCGCCAAAATGAACACAGTGACCGTTTTTGTTTTTGAAGCAGATGAGAAACTGGTGTTGAATGAGCAACACTGACTTCCAGTTGGATTTTACATCCTCCTGTAATGCTTCCCTTCTCTGAGGTGGACAGAGCGCCACTTCCTGCCAAAATAATCGCCACGGTTTTAGCTTACAACAAAGCGCCAGGATTGTCTTTTACCCGACTTCGTATTTTTTTGTATGCTTTTCCGGAAACTCAGGTGATGGATATGTGATAGGAACGAGACAAGGGATCAGGAGAACAATGGGAGGATTCACTTCCATTGTTTGTCTGAATACTTTGTCCCAGTTCCCACTCGTAATCATGAAACACTATCTACGATCCCTGGGGGTTTGATATTAAAAGAAAAGAAAAAAAACTGGAAGTTTAACAATAAACATAATCTCCACGTCTGCCACAAGCGAGAGAACTACACACAGAGTGGCTTGGACATTTCTACAGCTCTGTCGATACGATATTATGACTTTACAGAATGAATGGAGGCATGAGCAGGCTTTACAGCACTCATGATAAAACTGGAGATTATACAAGAGTTACAAATAACAAACGTCATGTTTGCAGAGGACCATCAGCGATGCCTTAAAAATGCTTACATGTTGAGCTTTAAAAAGAGAAAAAAAAGAGGAGAACTAACAGGCTCTTGTCACCTGTTTAATAATGTGAGAATACTCAAAACTGAATTCTTATTGGAGTGGTCCGTCAGGTGTGTCACCTCCTTCAGTTCAGGCTGTGGGAGGCCGGCGCTCCTCTCTATGTGGGGGCGAACTTCTTGGCCTGTGCCCTTACCCTCTTCTCGTAGTCCATCCTGTTCTGACTGAAACACAAAGAGATGGAGACATTGTTCATTTCTAATGTACGCTGCTAATTTATTCAGGAGGTTACACGATAACATCAGAGTAAGGGCTTGGCATTATATCCATATCATATATCAACATAGTGCTCGTCTGCGCGTGAAAGCAAACTGGGAAGGAGTTTTAATCACTCGATGTTTCGCCGCACTATAGACATTAATGCACACAATATCAGCTGTTTTTTTTTTAATTCTGTACATTTTTTTATTTCTATGTAAATACTGCTATATTTTACTATATTTTTTAATGTTATTATAGTTTTTCTTAAAACCGTTCTCTATCTGTGTTTTTAATTGTCGTTTTACTTTTATGTATGCACCACGACATCAAGTCAAATTCCTCGTACGTGTCAACCTACCTGGTGATAAACCGGTTTCCGATTCTGATCCTTGTTATTTTATATTTTCTCTTATTTGTTCCAGCTGCATCTTGGATGCAAGCTGGCTGGATGTGGCACCTGGACGCTACATTTTCATAGAAGTTGAAGTACAGACACCACCACACAAGTCTTTAATATGCTCAAGTTAAGTGTCAAATAACTTGAAGATAGACTTGACTTAAAGTTTCTGCATCCCTATTCCCCCTTGCTTAGTAAAACATGAATACAATGTGTTGTACTCAGCAAGAGCACACATCTAAAATGTTTGATTCCGGTTTAAATGATAGGCTACTGTGTGTAAGACGTCCTCAAAAGAGTCCCACTCACCAGTAAATTGTGTATGCCTCTGCTTGTGCTGGGTCTTGGATGTTGGGCTCATTCAGCAGCTCCTGGATCCCCAACAGGATCTGAAAACAAAGTCAACAATCCTCCGGTCAGCGTGTGATAGTGAGCTGGTGAAATGGAAACTACACAACCTGTGCATTCATTTCTTCACAGCAGTTACTCCAACTTGACAGTACACACAAACGCTTTGTTCAGACACTGAACCCTACAATTAGAAGACCTTACCCAGGAGGCAAAAGGAGACAATCACACACTGCACAGCCTAAAGGTTCACAGGTTCAAACGTGAACAAACCAACTGTTTATACAAGTTAAAGAGACAGAGTGTTCAGACCTGTTTGATGGTGATGGCGGGCCTCCAGTCTTTGTCCTCCTCCAGGATGGACAGACACACGGTGCCGGAGGGGTAGACATTCGGGTGGAATATTGGGGGCTCAAACTTGCCTGAGAGGAAGTCAGTGAAAAGAAAGTAAGAATTTTAAATCTTGAAGCAAGACTGTCATGGGAAAACGGAAGATTTCATACACAGTACAACATAGTCGTGAAAAGCTGCCACTTTGTGATTTAATTCATCTCTAAAACACAAGACATTATTCGTGACAAAGCATTGCAATTTTCCTCTGCCAACATCACTGATCGAATAATATCTTTGTTCAACATCTGATCAGAATATCCGACACTTTGATAGGGACATGCATATCCTACTAGAAACATAGCTCAATAAAGCTTTTAGTAACTAACTTCTTAGCATACACTATACAACAATATGCTTTGGAAATTGAAAGCACAAAAGCAGTGTCTAAATAGACATTCTGAATACAATGATATAATGCAAGTGTTGAAAAACTGCCATCTTTTGCTCAAGGTTCGTATTCAAACAAGACGGCAAGGTACCGACTTTCTGAAACTATGTAGCAGGTGTGGACTTATACTCACATTTGGGCGGAGAGGAAGGGTAGTCGTCTTTGAACAGCATTCTGAGTTTATAGAGTCCTCCCTCCCACAAAGTCTAATGAAGAAAACAAACAAAATAATAACTGCTTTAGTAAACATACAACGAAATAGAAACGACTGCAAAGGACTCAACTCAAGACACACGAATGACCCGAGGAACAATGGCCTATTTCAGTCAAATCCACCTTGTGTCTTTGTAACTGTAGCCAACACCCTGCACACTCAGCTGAACAACTAAGAAACTATTGAAAGTGTAATTTCCAAAACTTCTAGAGCGGGGGTCGGCAACCTTTTGATACGAAGTGCCATTTAAAAAAAAAATTGTGATCAGTGTGCCGACGATCGTGAACTGTCAACGAGGGGGGGGGGGGGGACCTCTTTCACCTGCTAGATGCCGTTTAAACACATTTAAATAATTGGTTTAAACGGCATAATAATAATGACGACCGTCCGTTCTGTGATTCTCCAGAACACACAGATGGCCAGTCCGCCCCTGTGTCGCATATTATTTTCGATGAGAGATGAGCAGATCGCCACTGGGCTTTCAACTAAAGACACAGCCCCGCAAACACTGCGGTATTTGTACAGCTCCTTATGGGTAGCCTACTGCAATGTGTGAAGTGCGGGCGCGCTCCAGCAGCACTTCAACCCTGATCGTTTCACCACGGAGGAAAGCAGCAGCAAGTCGACTGGAGTCAAAGAGAGCGGGGCTGAGTTGCGTGCATGGCTTCCTTCTGCAGGTAACGGGGAGACGCGCTCTGGCAGCGATCTCGTTCAGGATCCGAAAATACAATTTTAATATTTTGCACACTTATTCCACTTAGTCCTAGTTACGGTGCCGCGTGCCAGGGGTTGCCGACCCCTGTTCTAGAGTGAAGTTTAAAAGACAAAATGAGCATTATGTATAAAAGGTGATTGCTTTTGTTGGTCAGTCATATTTTGATGTTGTTCTGGACTAGATCTAAACCTGAAGGGGGCAATTAAGTGGATTTATGATTTAAATGTATTTTACATGTACCATTATCAGGTCATCCCTAATATGCATGACACAGATATTAACAGCTGTAACACACGTTGATTAAGATGCATGTACGGCGCAGACTGAAAACTCATCTCTTTCGACTCCGCTTCGAGCGATAGAATTACTAACAAAGCACTTTTATACTAATAAAGGGCTGGCTTACCTAAAGCCAGTTGAGTAGCACTTGAAATGTTTTTGCTCTATGAAACCTGATGTACTTATACGATTCTGTTTTCTTCAACTTTGTATTTTGTTGGTCGAACGCACTTATTGTAAGTCGCTTTGGATAAAAGCGTCAGCTCAATGTAATGTAATGTAATGTACCATAATAAAAAGGACAATATTGTACAATTCTGCCATTAAACTGAAGTTTTGCAAGTGGCACAGAAACTACACAGATTGCTAAAGTATACTCAAATGCTAATGCATGTGGAAGATTCTAATGCTGGTCTACTTACTCCTTTCTTCCCTGGAATGGCACACTCCCAGTTCATCAGGTTCATGGTTCCATCAGGGTTCTTCGTGGGCACCGCAACGAAACCCTGTGTAGTTTAAAAGAGAGACAACACATCACGAGGGAGTGTAGTCTACTTTGTGCCAGTAGCAATCATGGGCATTATGGTATAGGAAGTGTAAAGTAACCAACGCATTTACTCAAGTACTGTACTTAAGTATACATTTGAGGAACTTGTACTTTACTTGAGTATTTCTATTTTATGTCACTTTGTACTTCTACTCCACTACAATTCAGAGGTGAAAAGTGTACTTTTACTCCATTAAAATGTATTCAATAACCGTAGTTACGTTGTAGATTATAATGTGAAATATAATCAAGTATTAAATCAGAATTTAGTTCCACCTGGAGTAAATTCACCAGCTACCCTACAGTATACAAAGTCATTCAAACTAGCTGCACCTTTACCAGCTTTGAGAACACTTTCATGATCAATCATTATAAAACATATCATATATATTATTCTGAAATGGACCAATCTGCAAAATGACTACTTTTACCTTTGGTACATTAAGTATATTTCTGTGTTAATACTTATGTACTTTTACTTGAGTAACATTTTGAATGCAGGACTTTTACTTGTAGCAGAGTATTCCTACACTCTGGTAGAAGTATAAGACCTGAGTACTCCTTCCACCTCTGAATACGAGATCTTAGAGACGATGCAAAGAGTTGATTTGAAGTAAGGTTCAATATGCTGCTGCTACTTACAAACGGATGGTCTTTTCTCCAGGCTTTTCGCTCCTGTGACAGTCTGCTAAGCGCGATACCAGACATAGCTGCTCATCAACGCCTCCCTGTGGAATAAACCACCCAAAACAGATTAATTATCCAATTAAAAAAATCACCAAAGACAAGTTAGTTAACCCCAATTCACTGTTCTGTAAAATCAGTACATGTTAGCTACAGCATTTAAGGTTTGCCATTAATATTGAATGCAGACAATTGTTGGTAATTAGATATTGTGTTTTTATATAAAATGTTGATTATTTAACATTATTTAGTTAGAGGCTTTAAATAAGACCAATGTTTGTTTTTTTGCCTCATCCATCACTGTTTAGTATTTATCATTTGTTATGTTTGTGTATTATTAAATTGTGCAAAAACAATTAAGACACTGATTGACGTTGTTATGAGGCTACCGTTAGTAGAAATTACAAGCTAAATCAAGCTAATGTAATCCATTACAAATGGAAACACTTACAACACGTAGAAAACAATTAAAGGGAACATTGTAGCTCAACTTACCTCCCTTTTTATTCGACTAAATATCAGAATTACGTGGGTTTTACAACGTTAGCTTAAATGCTAACGCTAATGTCGCTGTTGTTGACGGCGGACGTAAAAAAACACCCTTTCGACGGTTTGAAAACAAACTGCCGGGCCAGTTAGGAAGAAAAAGACCAAACGGAATACAACTTGGATTATTTAAACATTCCCCTTGTAATCTAATCGTCATATATCGGTGTTATTCTTGACAATTTACCACAGTTGTGTAAAACAATGTGACTCGTTACACCGTTTCGACAGCTAGCTTGTCGCAAGGAAGGACCCCAATTTGTTTATTTCCTGAGGACCTTCAGGCAGTTGACGGGACACACGTCAGAGTAGTTCGGCCATCTTTGTTGTGGCGTTCATTATGGGCAGTTCTCGCCTACGGAGGATCCACTCATTTTGACTCGTTCCTCTTTAACGAATCACCTTTTACTACACGTTTTTTGTTTAGTTCATTTATAAATGTATATCTTATTCACATCAATATCTATTGCATCTATAACATCTGAGAAGTATTTAGTAGGCATGTGCACTATTTATAAATATTATTTAAGTAGATTAGTATAATTGCTATTATAATATAATTGTTGTATCAAGTCAAGTCAAATGTAAGTTGCGTTTTTAAGTAATGAAAGATGTTATCTTAACTGCTTTAAGATTATTGATAATACTTTAAAATACATTTAAACAATGGTGCTACCTGCCTATAACTATGGTTCCTCAGGTTCAGTAAGCAAGTCCACTCCTCGAGAAGAATCGTTCAAAAAGAGTTGTTCGTTCTCTTTTTCCCAGTGGTAATGGCCTTTTGTTTTTCAATTTTTTTTGCTTTTCACCCCCAAGGAGCATAGCAACAGCTGACATCACAGACAAGTAAAGTTATTACCTATAATGTTAAAAAAGATGCCAAATTGCAAAAGACGATGATGCCGATTGAAACAAGGGCACAGCTTTTGATGCAATCTCCAAAGGCAAAAAAAGAGTCTTACCCACTAGTTTATTAATTATTTTGTTACATTAATACACATGTATGGTCCTATTTGAGTCAAATATTATACATTTGACTGGTGCACAAAGTCCCACCGTTGTGTAACAAAAGCCTCAATGCAAAAACGTTGTTCTGAAAATCGGGCATATTGCCAGACACCTCAAATCAAGAACAGGAACCGGACTGAACCAGTTTTGATTTCCTCTGCGTCAGCATCCCGATTTTTTTCCTTTTTTTGTTGAAACAATCTGAGCAGAAGCTGCATTCTTTTTGAGGGCCTATTATCTCCTTAATTTTTTTTTTTTTAAAGTTTCACAGTTCACACCAAGTTACTTATAAGTAACTTTGCAAAAATGTAAAAAACAAATTGCACTTTTTTGGCATCGGAATCAGCACTAGATATAAGAAAATAGGTTCCTTTAATTCAGATGAGTTGAAAGGAAGACTTGGTCAATCATTATTTATCCAACCCTTCTGACTTTTCAGGTTATTAAATAAAGGAGTTGTGCCTCCATGTCATGCACTCTGGACATATTTCAAAGGTAAAAAAGAGATGACACTGTGGTCAAATTTAGCATAACAAAACCAACCATTTATTTTCACATTTGTAACATTCATCAATACATCAACTTGACCTGCTTCCATCATGAAATTGCACTTATTACAACAATCAAATGTCCCCATCTTAATACATTTTAGAGTCCTTTAACTACGATACATTGAGACACAAACAAAACATTCATGTTATTTCCAGATATTGCAAACCATTCTAAAATATGAAACTGTAAGGAAAGTCAGATAAGTTGCATAGGTAGATAATTAGCAACTGAAGTGTTAAGTTAGTTATTACGTTTCGTAACAAGCTCCAGCATGTACTATCTCCCCAGAATCACTAGAAAGTATACTATGAGGCTACTGTGATACTCTTTATCTATCACTCTTGTACTAAGAGCCTTGCTTCTTATCACACCTTCTTTCCCTCTCCCTCTGATATGATATACTCCGGAGATGCCCTTTTAAACCATTCAGACCAGGAGCCGTCATAAACACAGACCCCTGGGTACCCGAGCATATCAGCGGCCAGAACAACGTGGCAGGCCGTGACCCCGGAGCCACAGGTGACCCAGAGCGGCTGCTGCAGATCCACCCCCGCCGCGCTGAACCGTTTGGACAGGCCTTCAGAGTCCAGCTGCTTCCCAGAGGCGTCCATGAAGGAAGGGAACGGCATGTTGATGGTACCGGGGAAATGACCCGGCAGTGTGTCTGTGAGGGTGAAACAGAGGAGTGAGAAACATCTGTGGGAAATCTGGGACAATAATGACATAAGATAAAGAAAACAAACACAATTTGAGGATCTATAATCTGATTTTTCTTGAAGTTTTCAGACATATCTTATTGAACTGATCAGCAGATAGCAGCTTAGTTTGCATGGATAGTTCAGTTGGCATCAATTACAGTTAGACAATCTTTATCTTGCACTATTTTTTTTTTATGAAGTATTGTAGGTCACTTTCCAAACAGTCTCAAGGAGGCAAGAGTAAACCCTCTCCTAAAGAAACCCACTCTCAACCCGTCAGATGTTATAAACTACAGGCCTGTCTCTCTCCTCCTGTTCCTGTCTAAAACACTTGAACGCGCTGTCTTTAAACAACTCTCCTGTTATCTCCATCAGAACAACCTTCTGGATCCGCACCAGTCTGGTTTCAAGGCAGGTCACTCCACAGAAACTGCTCTCCTTGCTGTCACTGAGGAACTGCACACTGCCAAAACTGCATCCCTCTCCTCTGTCATCATCCTGTTGGACCTGTCTGCTGCATTCGACACGGTGAATCATCAGATCCTCCTTCGCACGCTCCAAAAACTTGGAGTTTTCAGGCTCTGCACTTTCCCTCCTCACCTCATACCTGAAAGACCGTACCTACAGGGTGGACTTGGAGAGGGTCTGAGTCCGACCCTTGTCAATTAACTACAGGGGTCCCTCAGGGCTCTGTTCTTGGTCCCCTCCTCTTCTCCCTGTACACAAACTCGCTCGGATCAGTCATTAGCCCGCATGGTTTTTCATACCACTGCTACGCTGACGACACCCAATTAATTCTGTCCTTTCCCCGCTCAGAGACCCAGGTCGTCGCACGCATCTCTGCTTGTCTAGCTGACATCTCTCAGTGGATGTCTGCTCATCACCTCAAGCTCAACCTTGACAAGACTGAGCTGCTCTTCCTTCCGGGAAAAGATTGTCCCACTCTTGACCTAACAATCAACATCGGCACCTCTGTTGTTTCCCCGACTCAGACTGCAAGGAATCTGGGTGTGATCCTAGATAACAACCTGTCCTTCACTGCAAACATCGCTGCTACAACCCGTTGCTGCAGATACACGCTTTACAACATCAGGAAGATACGTCCCCAGCTGACCCAGAAAGCGACGCAGGTTCTGGTCCAGGCTCTCGTCATCTCACGCCTAGACTACTGCAACTCCCTCCTGGCTGGTCTACCTGCATGTGCCATCCGACCTCTGCAGCTCATCCAGAATGCAGCGGCTCGTCTGGTCTTCAACCTTCCTAAATTTTCCCACACCACTCCGCTCCTCCGCTCCCTTCACTGGCTTCCGGTAACTGCTAGAATCCACTTCAAGACACTGGTACTTGCTTACCATGCTGCGAATGGATCTGGCCCTTCGTACATCCAGGACATGGTTAAACCGTACACCCCAGCGCGTGCACTACGCTCTGCATCAACCAAACGACTCGCTGCACCCTCGCTGCGAGGGGGACCCAAGTTCCCATCAGCAAAAACACGTGGGTTTGCTATCCTGGCTCCAAAATGGTGGAATGAGCTCCCCATTGACATCAGGACAGCAGATAGCTTGCACATCTTCCGGCGCAAACTGAAAACTCATCTCTTTCGACTCCACTTCGAGCGATAGATTTATTAACAAAGCACTTATATACTAATAAAGGACTGGCTTATCTAAAGCCAGTTGAGTAGCACTTGAAATGTTTTGGCTCTATGAAGCCTGATGTACTTATATGATTCTGTTTTCTTCAAGGTTGTGTCTTCCTGGTCGAATGTACTTATTGTAAGTCGCTTTGGATAAAAGCGTCAGCTAAATGCAATGTAATGTATGTTGCATTGTTAGAGGAGCCTGGGATTTAAGATTTTCTTTGCCAAATCTGCTATTGTGCATGAGACAATAATGAATCTTTAAGAACATGATATGTGGATAAATACATGTAGTAAGTGGACTACTACGAGTAGGGGTATGCAACTGAGCAGATCTACTAATGTCAAGTAGCCTACTTAAAGGTGGGGTAGGTAAGTTTGAGACACCGGCTCGAGATACACTTTGTGTTATATTCCATGGAATGCTCTTAACATCCCGATAGCAATGAATACATGAAATGCTTTGACATTAATATATACAAATATTTCATCTGTGGAAGCCGTAGTACTGTAAAAAGCACGACCAATCATCTGAGCCGGCCCGGCTAAAGTAACTGGATGGCCTACCTGCCTGTCAGCCTTCCATCTGTGCACAAACTTATCTCGGGCCCTCATTGGTCATGTGCACGTTCGTGTGTGTTGGAGGAGGGGCTCTGTGAGGAAGTGGCAGATTTTTTCCGGCTGTTTATTTTCAAATTCTAGCGCACTCGAGCTGGTTTCTCCAAAATTACCTACCCCACCTTTAAGTATGATTTTGAGGTTTTTGTAGTGTCTTTACTTGAGTATTTACATTTTTTACACTTTTTAGACAATATTTTACTGATTCGTTATAGGGTTACTTTACTTTACACATTCAGATTATTGACGCATATAAATAAAGAAGTAAAATAACGTTATATTTTTTAGGGATTAAGATACAGGCCACTAAATAAAGTAGTTAAGATCTCTACATAATGCATACATTATTACAACCAAGATATATAACACATACAATTATGAAAAGGCCATTCTGCAAGATGAGTACTTTTACTGTTGGTAATTTAAAAATATACTTTGATACCAATACTTTTGCCAGTACTTTTACTAAGTAAGATATTTTTATTACAGTGTAAATTATGTGCTTTTATACTGTATTAAAATATCTTGAGTAATTATTCTACTAGGATGTCATTGTGATTGATACGTGCACATCAACAAACTGTGTTTGAAATTACACTTTTTGGCATGGTCATTATTTTTATTGCATAAAACTGGCAGAATTGCAATTCATTATTGTCATGCAACTTTCTGAGCTTTGCATTTGTCCTAGGAAATGTAAGACTAAGGAATTGAGTTGCTCTAGTTTCTTCACAATGGAAAAACATGTAGTTTAAATATGCATCTCACCGTCTCTGGGCTCCGGCTCCAGACCCCTGTATCTCCCCGCGGACCTGGCATCCACGACCTGTACCTTCTTGGTCCTGATGTTCTCCAGCATGTCTTCATAGCTCTTCACCCAGGAAGCATTCAGGGTCGCCTTAAACTCACTAAACTCCGGCTTGGAGTATTCAGAAGTCACCGTATGGTCCTCAGCCAGCCAGTTTTTGAAGCCCCCGTCCAGCACCGACACAGAACCGTGTCCAAACAACCGGAACATCCACCACACCCGGGGCGCGCAGTACGACCCAAAGTCACTGGTGTCATACACAACTACATGTGTGTCATTCCCGATGCCCAGATCTCCTACATACTGGGAGAAGTGGCTGGAAGTTGGCAGCATGTGATCAAAAGCAGAGGTCTTGTCGCTGCAGTCGTCCAGGTCAACGAACGAGGAACCTGGGATGTGTTTTTGCGCAAATTCTGCCCTCGGGTTGCGCTTGGTTTTGGGGAGGTACCATGACGCGTCGAGTATGCGAAGTTTGGGTCCGACCAGGTTATTTCTGATCGCATCTGCCAGCCACTGACAGGACACCAAAGCCCGGGTCTGTGCCGCCATGACGAGCCGAGAGAGTCAGTACAAGCTCCGGGCGATAGAGGGAACCGTTAGGCAGGTTTTTTTAAAGGGGACCATGGAAAGTAGCCTAAACATGAAAAATAGGAAACGTTTGTTTGTGTCTCAACATATCGCCCTTTAATGCTTGTTATAAGTGCAGGAAGATATTGTGCTTTCGTGATTGGAGCAATTGCTGATTCACCTTCAAAAGTTAATTCAACGTCCTGGTTTTGTTATGCTAACTTTTAGTATAGTGTCATCTCTTTTCCCCCTTTCAATATGTCCAGTGCATGGCATTGAGGAAAGGCTCCTTTATTCAGTAACCAGAAAAGTAAATATTTAGCTGTGTTAGTTGTCAGTGGAGGACAGGCAACATATTGTAGGTCAAATAAATATTGATTGACCAAGTCTCCCTCACACTCAATGGGTTTATAGGAACATTTAAAGTTGAAGATAATAGGCCAACAAAAAGACAACCAAATACAATTAGACACATTCTTAAACTTGCATTTATTAATAAGAAATTATTGAAATTATTATTACAAAATAGATTCATGTCAAATCACAAATACTTAAACTGATTCATTTTTTTTACTTCTAATGTGCTTCATCTTAGTCAGTTCACAACTGTTAGGTAAAGGGCTTTGACCTACAAACTGGACTTCATAAAGTCTTCAAAGGCAGATTGTTTTTAAAGTGTATTACCTCAAAGCACCAGCAGGCTGTGCCATGTGGATACATCTCCACAAGAGCCCACATGGGGAAAGTGCTATAAGAAAAAGCTCAAAATGTTCTTCAAATACTCAATTATTGTCATAAAATGGCACCAATACTCCAATAATGGGGGAGAAGGGGAGTAAAAACAGCAACATTGAAAACAGCACCATCTAATATTATTTAAAATCAGAATTAGGCGTGTGGCACAGTGGACTAGTGCATTGGTGTTCGGATCAGGGGAGTTGTGTCGTTGTCGTTGTATCCCTGGGCAAGACACTTCACCCCAAATTGCTCCTGTGGGGATTGCCCACAGTATTGAGTATGTAAGTCGCTTTGGATAAAAGCGTCTAACAAGTAATGTAAAATGATTCTCAGTAAATAAGGCCTGTCTCGGTAATATGACAGCAGTAGTTTATTTGAACATGTTAAGCAAACATTGCATGATCTAGATTAGAGTCTGGTTTCTTATAAAATACAGACTTTGTTTTAAAGGGGCCCTATTATAGTGTCTTTAAAGAGTCCTCTCCTGCTGATGTTCAAATGTATGTAGTACCCCTACTGTGACATGTCTCCAAGCTTTAATGTTCAAAAAGCTCTTTATTTTTCTCATATACTGCCTGTGCTGCAGCACCTCTTTTCACCCTCTGTCTGAAACCAGAGCCCAGTCTGCTCTTATTGGTTAGCTGGCCGGCTCTGTTGTGATTGGTCAACCCCTAGAGATCCAGGTCCAGCCCTGTAGCCTATCATGTACAATGTGTTGGAGCGCTAGCCGTTGCATAGTGATGCCATTATGTTCAGGAAGTAAACAAAAGAAGTGGAGGGAACTTTGGGATTTTAGCCTAAAAGACCCCCAGGCAGGACTACATAGGGAAGGGAAAACCCCCCAAAAGCATAGGGCCTCTTTAAAATCCACATTTTTATTTTGTAGTAGTAGTACAACCTTTATTTAGCCAGGAAAATTAATTAAGAACAAATTCTTATTTTCAATGATGACCTGACAGGAGGCAAAAGGCTTCCTGAGGGGATGGGGGTTGGGAGGAAGAAAATAACAAGCACACAGCGTATACTCAAGTTTAGAACTCTGTTTATTTCTGGAAGCTTTCCCTTGTCAAACTAAGAGCCTTGCTTCTTATCACACCTTCTTTCCCTCTCCCTCTGATATGATATACTCCGGAGATGCTCTTTTAAACCATTCACGCCAGGAGCCGTCATAAACACAGACCCCTGGGTGCCCGAGCATATCAGCGGCCAGAACAACGTGGCAGGCCGTGACCCCCTGGCTACAGGTGACCCAGAGCGGCTGCTGCAGATCCACCCCCGCCGCGCTGAACAGTTTGGACAGGCCTTCAGAGTCCAGCTGCTTCCCAGAGGCGTCCATGAAGGAAGGGAACGGCATGTTGATGGTACCGGGGAAATGACCCGGCGGTGTGTCTGTGAGGGTGAAACAGAGGAGTGAGAAACATCTGTGGGAAAATCTGGGACAATAATGAAATAAGATAAAGAAAACAAACACAACTTGAGGATCTATAATCTGATATTTCCCAGAAGCTTTCAGACACTACTAACGGACTTCCTCAGCAGATGCTTCGTTGTAATGAAGGTGGTTCAGTTGGCACCATGACCATCTTTATCTATTGTGCATATGTCAATAAATCTGAAACTTGATAACGATATGTGGCGAAAAATACATTTAGTAAATGGATCTTGGGTACATTTCCTTTTTTTCAAAACTACTATTCAGTAGGAGAATGCAACTGAGCAGATCTACTAATGTCAAGTACTTAAGTATGATTTTGAGGTTTTTGTAAGCGTCTTTACTTGAGTATTTACATTTTTTAGACGATATTTTACTGATATGTTAGAGTATAGTTACTTTACAGATTCAGATTATTGATGCAAAAATATAAATAAAAAAGTAAAATAATGTTACATTTTTTAGGGATTAAGATACAGGCCACTAAATAAAGTAGTTAAGATCTCTATAATGCATACAAAATTACAACCAAGATATATAACACATACAATTATGAAAAGGCCATTCTGCAAGGTGAGTACTTTTACTGTTGGTACTTTAAATATACTTTGATACCAATACCTTTGCCAGTACTTTTAAGTAAGATATTTTATTACAGTGTAAATTATGTGCTTTTATACTGTATTAAAATATCTTGAGTAATTATTCTAGGATGTCATTGTGATTGATACGTGCACATCAACAAACTGTGTTTGAAATTACACTTTTTGGCATGGTCATTTATTTTTATTGCATAAAACTGGCAGAATTGCAATTCATTATTGTCATGCAACTTTCTGAGCTTTGCATTTTTCCTATGAAATGTAAGACTTAGGAATTGAGTTGCTCTAGTTTCTGCACAATGGAAAAACATGTAGTTTAAATATGCATCTCACCGTCTCTGGGCTCCGGCTCCAGACCCCTGTATCTCCCCGCGGACCTGGAATCCACGACCTGTACCTTCTTGGTCCTGATGTTCTCCAGCATGTCTTCATAGCTCTTCACCCAGGAAGCATTCAGGGTCGCCTTAAACTCACTAAACTCCGGCTTGGAGTATTCAGAAGTCACCGGATGGTCCTCAGCCAGCCAGTTCTTGAAGCCCCCGTCCAGCACCGACACAGAACCGTGTCCAAACAACCGGAACATCCACCACACCCGGGGCGCGAAGTACGGCCCGAAGTCACTGGTGTCATACACAACTACATGTGTGTCATTCCCGATGCCCAGATCTCCTACATACTGGGAGAAGTGGCTGGAAGTTGGCAGCGTGTGATCAAAAGCAGAAGTCTTGTCTCTGCAGTTGTCCGGGTTGAATAACGAGGAACCTGGGATGTGTTTTTGCGCAAATTCTGCCCTCGGGTTGCGCTTGGTTTTGGGGAGGTACCATGACGCGTCGAGTATGCGAAGTTTGGGTCCGACCAGGTTATTTCTGATTGCATCTGCCAGCCACTGACAGGACACCAAAGCCCGGGTCTGTGCCGCCATGACGAGCCGAGAGTCAGTTCAAGCTCCTGCGTTTGTTATGCTAATTCTGAATATATAGCGTCATCTTTTGTTTCCCTTTCAATATGTCCAGTGCATGGCATTGAGGAAAGGCTCCTTTATTCAGTAACCAGAAAAGTAAATATTTAACTGTGTTAGTTGTCAGTGGAGGACAGGCAACATACTGTAGGTCAAATAAATATTGATTGACCAAGTCTCCCTTACACTCAATGGGTTTATAGGAACATTTAAAGTTGAAGATAATAGGCCAACAAAAAGACAACCAAATACAATTAGACACATTCTTAAACTTGCATTTATTAATAAGAAATTATTGAAATTATTATTATAAAATAGATTCATGTCAAATCACAAATACTTAAACTGATTCATTTTTTTTACTTCTAATGTGCTTCATCTTAGTCAGTTCACAACTGTTAGGTAAAGGGCTTTGACCTACAAACTGGACTTCATAAAGTCTTCAAAGGCAGATTGTTTTTAAAGTGTATTACCTCAAAGCACCAGCAGGCTGTGCCATGTGGATACATCTCCACAAGAGCCCACATGGGGCAAGTGCTATAAGAAAAAGCTCAAAATGTTCTTCAAATACTCAATTATTGTCATAAAATGGCACCAATACTCCAATAATGGGGGAGAAGGGGAGTAAAAACAGCAACATTGAAAACAGCACCATCTAATATTATTTAAAATCAGAATTAGGCGTGTGGCGCAGTGGACTAGTGCATTGGTGTTCGGATCAGGGGAGTTGTGTCGTTGTCGTTGTGTCCCTGGGCAAGACACTTCACCCCAAATTGCTCCTGTGGGGATTGCCCACAGTACTGAGTATGTAAGTCGCTTTGGATAAAAGCGTCTAACATGTCATGTAAAATGATTCTCAGTAAATAAGGCCTGTCTCGGTAATATGACAGCAGTAGTTTATTTTAACATGTTAAGCAAACATTGCATGATCTAGATTAGAGTCTGGTTTCTTATAAAATACAGACTTTGTTTTAAAGGGGCCCTATTATAGTTTTCAGGTGTATATCAGTATGTAGTGTCTTTAAAGAGTCCTCTCCTGCTGATGTTCAAATGTATGTAGTACCCCTACTGTGACATGTCTCCAAGCTTTAATGTTCAAAAAGCTCTTTATTTTTCTCATACTTCCTGTGCTGCAGCACCTCTTTTCACCCTCTGTCTGAAACCAGAGCCCAGTCTGCTCTTATTGGTTAGCTGGCCGGCTCTGTTGTGATTGGTCAACCCCTAGAGATCCAGGTCCAGCCCTGTAGCCTATCATGTACAATGTGTTGGAGCGCTAGCCGTTGCATAGTGATGTCATTATGTTCAGGAAGTAAACAAAAAAAGTGGAGGGAACTTTGGGATTTTAGCCTTAGAAGACCCCCAGGGCAGGACTACATAGGGAAGGGAAAACCCCCAAAAGCATATAGGACCTCTTTAAAAATCCACATTTTGATTTTGTAACAAGCACACACAGCATATAGCCTACTTAAGTTTAGAACTCTGTTATGGAAGCTTATTTAACTGTGATTACCATTAGAATATATCATAGTGTGATTTTTTTTAACGCAGATTGGTAAATTAAATCTCTGGTTTGACCTCGGTGGCTACATGCTCAGGTGGAGCTTTGGTGAACCACTCATACCAGGACCCGCCGTACACAGTGGCCCACGGGGCCCCGCACAGGTGAGCAGCCAGCACCATGTGACAGGCCGTCACCCCGGAGCCACAGGAGCCACAGAGAGGTTTGTGCAGATCGATCTGAGACTGCTCAAAGAACTCCTTCAGCTTCCCCGGGGAGAGCATCATGCCGTCTTTATCCAGGAACTCAAAGAAAGGCATGCATTTAGAGCCGGGGATGTGACCTGATTTGACACCTGTGAGAAAAAAATATAGTAGATACATCTTTGGACACACGTGTAGCACAATTAAATACCACTGTTTTTCAAATGTTCTCTTACTTAATGGGGTCCTACATTATTTGCTAAATTTACAACAGTTATGGTTACTTCATGTGATACATTTCTGTATATGTGTTTTATTCATATATATCATATAGTCACCTATTTCCGTGGACCAATCAGCAATAAACAACATTGTAATCATTGTCTGATATTTGTTTGGCTATGTGCTTTAGTTTCTTAGCGAATGTCAAGATCAAATATTCAATATTCAAGGATTTGTGAAACAAAAATATATGTTCTGTCCCCAATCCTTAGGGGCTTTAAACAAAGTCTGGTTTATAAGGAACATCACAATAGAGTGCTAGAAATTAATGGTGACATTACATTAAAAACATTCAAAATACATTTTAGTAAAACAATCACACCTCAATAAATTCAATAATAAAGGTGGACACAATGTGACAGGCCATTTCTTTGAATGTTGTCACATTGTTTTGTATTATTGCAGCTATCGGATGCAATCAATACATGGGCTACATGTGGCCATCACAAGTAAAATCATAACGAAAACTAAGCCGGTAAAATATGCGTGTAGAAAACGGCTTATGCTACAATATGATAGCAACAAGTAGTCAAGATAGTCTGATTTGCTAACATCACCTGTAGAATGCCAGAGAAACTTTCATAACAGCGTTGTGATGCCAAACAGCTTTCAGACTGAAACACATTCACTTATGGGGGTGGGGGATATTTATCAGCTGCTTGTGTGCCAGTCAGACAATGAAAACCTTTCAGCTGCCGCGAGTTAACGGGAGAATAAACTCCGGTAGACGAGCAGCACTGCAGCAGGCAGTAATGCAGCTGAACCACATTAATAAACAATACACCACAGCACTTGGAGAAAGGTACACGGTTGCAGAAGTAGTTCTTTAATTGAATCTGGCTTCGTATAATTAAAAACTACCCGACGCAGTCCTCTATTGATGTTGTTGTGAGCGGTGTTGCGGAGAAAATCAGCGACGTAAAACGCTGTGTGGGTCATAAGAAGGCATGTAAACGTTTACGTCATGACGCAAACGATGACGCAATAATTCACCTTTGAACCTAATTCACCTTTGAACCTGCATCTGTAACAATGAGTGGACCAAAGAAAAGAAAAGTCAACATTGAGTGCCGAGTGTATAATGAGGAGTGGACAGCTAAATATGTTTTTCCCGATCTGCTACTGGCCCGGCCCGTCTGTCAAATTTTAAAACTCATAGTGGCCCCCGAGCCAAAAAGTTTGCCCACCCCTGGCCTAGCCTATACTATATGACCTTTGCACTCATTTAGCATAGCACTGATACTACACACTGCTGTCATGTCTTTGCATTATTGATTTTTTGAGGGGAACTGTTTGCTATATAAATGATGCCCTTTTGTAGTGACTTTGATTCACCGGCACATTTATTTGTAGGCCTATTAAAAGAATGTGCAGCACAAAAACTAAAAAGTACTTAAGTGCTAACATTAGACATACCCTCTCTTGGTTCTGGCTCCCATCCAAGGAACCTCTCCCGGGGCCTCACGTCCACCACCTGGAACTGTTGTGTGTTAATGTTCTTTGTCATGTCCTCGAATGACTTCACCCAGGAGCGCTCCATGGTGGCGGTGAAGCGCGCTGCTTCAGGCCGGCTATACGTGCCTGTTGTCGGATGTCCTCGCTTGACCCAGTCCCTAAACCCCCCGTTGAGCACCGACACTTGAGGGTGGCCAAACAAGCGGAACATCCACCAAACCCTGGTGCAGGAAAACGCTCCGAAGTCACTGGCGTCGTAAACAACCACATGGCTGTCATTTCCAATGCCCAAATTCCCTACATAGTCTGCGAAAAACTGCTCATTTGGGAGCGTATGGTCGAACTTTGAGGTTCTGTCCGAGCACTCGTCAATGTCGAAAAAAGAAGCTCCTGGGATGTGAGTTTCTGCAAACTCCTTCTTGGCGTCTCGGTTCATCATGGGCAGGTACCAGGACGTGTCTAGGATCCGCAGACCAGGTCCCACGAGGTTTCGGTTGACCATGTTTGCAAGCCACTTTGCAGAAACAAGAGTTTGAGCCTGCAGCCCCATGTTTACAGCTGGAACGGTCTGTGGGTTACAGCTGTCTGAAAGTGAGCCTCTTGTTGCCAGATCAGATTGACAGTTTCCTGCACAGCGAAATATTATCAGCCCCAGTCGTGACGTCGCCAGGGCGTAAACTTTAAGGACATAACCGTCCATAACGTAATATAGGCCACACCACTTTATAATCATGTCCAGGCAGTCTGTTCACACACAGCCAGCTGCAGCTATAAAGTTAATGCACGTTTATTAGTGCCTTTACAGTACAAGTTGTCAGAGCGGCCAAAAGCAAGAGGAAACGCGTTAAATTACAATTTATATTTGATTTCAATACATGCTAACTATATTTTAATTATGGTGTATTTTATTATAAGTGTTTCTAATTGTTGGCTTGTAACAAAAGCAAGAGCAAACAGTTCATTTCAGTTAAAAGTTAAGTTAAGATTATCTTGTCTTTTAAAACATTCCTCTTTAAAAACCAAATATTTGACATCCTATATTTGGTTATTATTTTGTACTTTTGTAATATCTTTATTATTCATATTATTTTATTTTTTGTATTTAAAAAACTCACTAAATCAAAGTCAGCCAAAATCAACTTTATTGTCAATTCCTTTATTTGTGTTACACAGGTATCGAAATTCTGT